TCTTGTCAATTCAGACAGTAGTTATATTTCTGGAAAGCCTGATTCTCGAGTTTATCTCTATAGTGAAAAGGGTATACCTGTCGAGAAAATCACTCTTCGTAATGATGGTGGACCACTTGGCTTAGCCATCTGCGGTGGATCAGATATAAGTTGTCTTCCATTTGGTAGTAAAGAACCAGGTATTTTTATATCCAAGGTAATAATAGTAATAATGATTGTGAATTGTGAAAATTGATGTACCTTTATGTGTCATTTTGATAATGTGACCAACTATTTTATAACATTTTTTTCTGTCTTTTTCCTGACTCTGTTACTAAGATCAGTTATAAATTTATGAACTGAAATACGAAGGATATATATATATATATATATAATTATTATTATTATTATATCCTTTAATTCCTAGAGGAACATAGGGCTTCAGCCACGCGTCTCCATTGCCTTCGGTTTTCTGCCAACTTTTTCACCCCACTCCAAGTCTGCCCACATGCTTTCATCTCCTCTTCACATGACCTCCTCCAAGTCACCCTCGCACTGACGACCAGCTCGCCGCTTCCCTTTCGGGTTCCACTCGAGCAATGGCTTGTCTAGTGATGTCACTTGATGGTTTCTCTTCTCAGAGTATGGCCAATCCAATCCATCTCCATTTCTTCCTGCCTATTTGTTTCACAATCGGTTCCTGGTTGGTTCGCTCATTGCCAGAGATCCCTGTTGCTGATGTTTTCTGGCTGGCCATGTGATCTTGAGTGGTATTGAGCGAAGACAACTGTTAATGAAGGTCTGTAGTTTGTTTGAGGAGCTCTTCATGATTTGGTGTCAAGTCTCTGATCCATATAGTAAGTAGCACTGACTTCACATTCGAGTTGGAAATCCTGATCTTATTTTTGATGGTGAGTGCTGTTGACCTCCACATAGACTCGAGAGTAATGGACCTTGTCTTACTTTTCCGATTCTGGCTTTGATGTCCTCGTCAGTTCCGCCTGTAGTTGAAACGATGCTTCCCAGGTAGGTTGGTAGTTAAAGGAGGTTGTTTCTTTCAGGTTCCTCCCATTTATACTGATTGTTGTCTGTTGTTGTTGGTATTGGCCAGGAATCTTCATCACCTCTGTTTTATCTATGTTCACCTGAAGTCCCATCTTTGATGCTTCTTCTACCAACTTGTTGCTTTTCACTTGCATATCTTCCAGTTTGTGGGAAATCAGACATATATCATCGGCGAAGTCCAGATCCTCCAAGTTTTTTGTGTGAGTCCATTTTATGCCTGTTTCCTCATTGCCCGCTGTTTGTCGCATTATCTAATCTACTGCAATCAGGAAGATCAATACTGCTATAGACTTATCATGGTCGATGATGATGGTGATTAGCAGTGGGATGCACGTGTCGTCCTATTTCAAGCTCGTCAACCAGATATGTCAGCTATCCCATGGAGTGATGGTATCTCCACTGATACTTGCTTGAACCATGCATTCATCGTTTCAAACGCTGAGTTAATCAATTAACGAGAAATGCGAATTAATTTAATTAGAAATTACTATTGAATATCGGTAGGGGGTAGTCGGTGGTTTAGCGGTCGAAGCTCGCCAACCATGCACCTCGTCCGTAGTTCAATCCCTGTCCGACACACTCCTAAGCCCGGTTAAGTGAGAAGGTTGGGTGTGAGCCTTGCAATCCCACCCCACCCCGTAAAACTAAACCTAATATTACCGAGAATCCAAGGCTACAACTTGAAGTCTTATATTCTACTTGGGATGTTAAAAAATATTGATAATGGGTGTTGGTGGAGTACGGATGGTTGTAGCCACCAAGCAACTAAATACAGCCATATGTTATATTTTTAAATCTCTTCACTTGAGTAAGTGGATGAATATTATATTGCTAATTTATAGCACTGTATAGCTTATAACGATGAATTCGTCTTCAAGCGAGAAAACTTCATTAAATTCCTTTATAATTGATCAATTGAACTATGAGGATATTAAAAGTTTATTGTGCGATGAATAATCATATAAACATTAAGAATTAATTGTACCGGAAATATTTATTAATTAATTAATGACTATTAGCTTTCATAACAGTGAATCATTGCTTTGTTTATACAAAAATCCGAGTTTCATGTTCGCTGTTTTGTTCATTTGTTATTTATCCTATTAACGTACCAAAGATGTGTTCCTGTATTTTGCAGTTGTCTTTTGTACTCGGAATATCTCTCTCTCCCCCCCCTCCCCAAATAAAGCACTGAAGCAGACATAACCCTGGTGGTTGAATTTCTAGGTTCAGCGGTAGAATGTATGCTATCATATTTATCACTGTTGGTGGTGGAGATTAGGGAAGTAACTGAAACTTAGAAAGATTTCACAATGAGTTGAATAAACTCCTTATAGATGCTGCAAGCAGGGAATCACTCGCTGTTATCTTTCAGTATGTTGTCTTGTATAACTGTAGATAATATTGAGACAAGTAACACTTTTAGAGAATTGTAAGCAGTATTCATGCAACTCAGCAGCATTCATAATTTTAATCCCTCTTGCCTTCAACACTGTTTCACAATACATCTCATATTACTACAAGTCAACTGTAAAAATACGAAAGCTCTTAAAAAATTCACCTAACTGTGGCAATATCAATCGACAGTAACCTTGTTAATACTGGGTATCATAGACACCAGCTTTGGGCTAGTAATCCGGAGGCTACGGTTGTCAATCCTTCCGCGAATCAGATTTTTATTTCACTCTTAGCCGTCAGCCAATACATCAGTATCACAATACCATAAACAAGTAGAGTTGTGTTTAGTAGTTTATTCTCAAAGCCTGATTTTGTTATGTCTCCCTCAACAATAATCCTTATCCAAATTTTTACTCCTTATAATATTGATTTTCACAGATTTCTGCAGATGGTGCTGCTGTTAATACTGGTTTACGCATTGGAGACAGAGTTCTTAAAGTTAATGGAGTGGATCTAAGACATGCTACACACGATGAAGCTGTACAAGCATTGATACAACCTGCCAAAGAACTTCAACTTGAAGTACGCAGAGACCCACCCCCTCCTGGTTTGAGGGTAAGTTTCGTACGGTAATTTTTTTTGTATAATGCAAAACTGTGGGAACATTTAAATTACTCAATTCTGTCTTTTATCTCTAGCGTGTTACAGTGACCAAAAAACCTGGAGAACGATATGGATTACGTATTACAGGTGGACTTAACACTAATGATTGCAGTTTGGTCAATTCTTTGGGATCACGTTTCTCATCACTTGCCAATGACGATGGTATATTTGTAACTTGGGTTACACCAGACGGTGCCGTAGCTCGAGATGGCCGGTTGAAGCCAGGCGACAGATTACTAGAAATTAACGGGCACTGGTTGATGGGGCTTACTCTAGATGAAGTATTGCATGTGAGTCATATTACATATTTAATTAAAATCACATACAACGAGTTTCGAAACTGGTGATTTATTTCACCATCATACACGAAGCACGGTATGAGTGTTCTTTAAATTTATTCTCCGAAGATGATTACTTTATGGGACGCACTAGTATAGACACCACAGTTAATGGTATTCTGCATTGTTGCTTCGACATCACTAAATGTCGGAAATAAAAGATTGCTGTTTAGTATTGTTGCATCCATTTTTATATGCGCACACAATGTAATGTAGCAACCTCTGAATTACTGTTAATCATGTCTTTTTAACGTCTTGGTTTATAATTTCAACAGCTTTTCAAAGAAGCTCAATCAACACTGACTTGTGTTGTGTGTGATGGTCCAGTTGATTTCGCACTGCAAATTACTAAGACAACTAACTCAAGAAACACTGAAACACCGTATGCTTCTGCTATGCCGGTTTCTATAATACGTTCTGCTATGCCATCAATTCCTGACGCATCTGTTGACGACAGTTCAACATTGGTACCGCAAATAGAAATAACCAACAGTATCCATAAACTAAGCCTCGTAAGTCGAAAGCATATGTGTATTTTCAATCGCTAATTCTTCATGTGATGCGATTATAAACTAATATTTTATGTTTTTTAAACGCTTAAGGAAGCGGATGAATCAAACTGCACTCTGAAAGCACACCGCCCGGCACACAAGTCGGTGTTCCAACCTACCAGAACAGAAATGAATAAAGACGAAAATATACATCAGGAGTCTATATTTGTAGCCTCCCAGTACGTCTTTTCCCTATGACTCAAGCGAAGGAGCGAATAAATTAGGTATTCGATGTTAGAAACGTTTCAGTTTAATTGAAAACTTTTAAAAACTTCCCTATAAACAGAATTATTTACCCCAGGGTATTTTTCTTTTTTTTCAGGAACCGATTACACGAGACTAACGGAGGAAATATTCAGTAGACGTTGATTAAATTACAAACAAGCCGTTATACTAATTAATTTCAACATAATAATTGATCTCCTGAATGATGGTTTCTCAAAGTTGGTGATTTCGTTTCCTGTAAAGTGTTGTACAGCACCTTAGGACCCTTTTACTTCCTTGTTCACTTTAGTTACGTATGAACAGCTATTCATTCCCACATAACCAGTAGCGCAATAAGTTCTGCGCCGATGTACTTTTTTATGTTTGATTTTTAAAAAAAATTGTTTGAGGTTTGTGTAAGTTAGTTCTTTTATTTCAAATTTTTTAGAACTAAGCATTTTTGTGCAGAGAAAACGAAGAAAACATCAGTTAAACTCTGATTAGGTCTAAAAAGTGTACAACTGTACAATCGCTTACAAAAAAGTGTGCATCATCAATTTTGATTGAAGGAAAACTGTAAGAAAATAGAATATCAATAGCCGATTCATAGAAGTTAAGAAACATTGCAAGATCACGAAATTTAAACACAGTACAAAATGAAGAATTATTAAGTTAGCAAGGGTTAAGATACACAGTATACCAAAACATCCACCATAAGTATAAACATGTTGAGCGTAAAGAATGAGATCCGATAAAGCATTATTATCACACGTGGGAAGTAAATAAAAGAAACCTGGGGTATTTATAATACATCATCCACGAAAGACAAATTCGGTAGATGCTTCCGCACCTCAATTGCGTCCATCAGCTCCTGTAGAGACGTTTGCCTGGAGGAAGGAAAAAAGTTTTTTATAAAGAAATGTCTTCACCTCAACAATCTGTTTCTAGTCGCGTTACAACAGTAGTTAAGTTACAAGTGTAGTTAGGTTTGCTGCTTGGACCATAAAAGCTACTTAATGGACTGCTAAAAAGTTACATCATTAATACCAGCATTTAGAAGACAAAAAATTAAGCTGAACTTTCTATCTTCCTAATGGAGGATTTTCGCCAATCTGAGTGATAAAAATTAAATGGTCCACAGTATTGGAAGTGACACCTACCCGTATGATAGTTTTTTATGCATAACAAACAATGAGAATTAAGTTATATTTTGTTGCTTACGATTCCGTTAATTTGTGCAACTTATTCGACATATTATACCTTCCTTGGCTGAGTGACAGGCTAACATTGTCTGTCTGTCTATCTGTTTTCGACATAGAACTTTGCACAAATGTGCAACAGTTCAAGTCGCCACACTCCGTGTAGCACGCAAAGCAAGAGAAGGAAGTACAAGAAAAGCATAATAGAGACAGTAAACAGAGGTGTGAGACAAAGGAGTAATAACGAAGAACAACATTAATGCAAAACCAGGAATGCTAAGCAGGTCTTAGCAAATCCCTAATTACATCTGCAATAAAAAACACTGCACATCCCCTCCCACCATTGCGCATGCAACTGTAAAGGATCATCTTTATTTAGAACTTTGATAACTAATCATGTCTTCCATCGACCGTTCTTAACTATTTGTATGGCGTCTACTTAAACAGGGCGCTGCTAGGTAACTAAGCCGAAGTATTAACAACTCAAACATACATCACATCGATGTAACTATTTAAAGTAGTAAAATGATACCGAAAAACATGATATATAAAGTATTGAGTAGTAGTGGTAGGTTAAAAACTTCAAGACTCACTTTTCTTTGTGGATAGCAAGTTTGGCTTCACTTATCCGAACTAAAGCACGTAACTTTTTTGACTCCGCCGAAAGCTCCCCGTAGAGAACACTTTGGAGGCGATCAAAATTCTTTGACTCAATTTGAGCCTGAAACAAAATTTACGTAATGAGTTATTGCATTCAACTAATGAAAGCAGTGAGAGAAATCAAAAACAATGCGAATAAAAAATGTACAGAACAAGTGCCACCAAGAAACAGACAACAAATTTTATTTATGTAAAGCCTACCTCTTGCTCTAAACGTTGCAAGGACTCGTCATGATAATTGGAAATCAGCACAGGGTCAAAAAACGATTTTATTTCTGTGCTATCCAAAGGATCTGACACTCTATTAAGGCCAGAACTGTTTTCAGAGGGTGGAGCTGGTGATAATATAGGTTTATTCGCGACATCAACTGCTGTGTTAGTTGAATTGTTTGAACGAATTGACGGGGAAGCGGAAATGGGACTATGCAAATTTGGAGTTTCCCGTTTATCTGTGACATCAGATGCGACCTCAGTCGTTTTCGCGGAATTGCTGATGCTTGAAAAATTGCATGCGGAAACAGGAGACCCTGACGTATCTAGCCCCGTATTTATTCTACCGAATGGATATGAATCTGTGGTCAAGCGGTTGGCTACATGTGTTCTTGATCTGCTTTGTAAAATAGAAATAGTGAAAATTAATAAATGGATCAACAAAATTCAAAATGAATGGAGTGGATTACAATTAACTGCTGGACACTAGTACAACAAACAAATAATCCAGTCAAAATTTGTGAGTCAAAGCGATTTTCGATATTAGCTTACTATGCGAATAATACAAATAAAGCAAAAACTAGACGAAGGTAGAATTTTGCGCAGAAATAGAATCAATATGGCTGGGAATTACTAAATAAAGCAGGGCGAAAATGATCCAAAGAACAAACAACAGCTCGGGGAACACTGTCTCAACAGGTAACAGGTGTTATCTGATAATAGTCAAGTATTTTTGTTTATATATGAATAGAACTTGTGCACTGTGGTAGCGTATAATTTCATTATGGGTAAAATTTATTTTGATCAAGTCTCACAGTGTTATACAGTAATATTTACTGAAGACGTTTCGAGTACAATGTATCTCTCATAATCATATCAAGGTATTCACACAACTCTCTAACTTCGTTTATATAATTCCATTATTTTTCATCGCTTGACTTGACTGGCAGTAGTATTTTCTATATTTCCAGTATTCGTGTTTATTATCTCCCAGTATTTCATTATAAAGGCGTCGCCATTATTGTACTGGAGGGTGAACATTTACGCAGAACAGTTGTCAGTCTTCAGCTGTAAGAAAAAGCTTACCATAACAGAAACCGATTTGATGTAGATAGCTATTTTCGGGGATTAGTGTGACACATCAATAAATGCACCAGTATTACTCCATAAAATTTGCAGTTATTTTTATTCTTTTTATTTTTGATTACAGCTTGATTCCACACCGTATTTTTGGTACAAGTATGGAATTTTCAGCATGGACATCAGTAGCCCAAAATCGCAGGCCGACCATAGATATCAAGTGTGCGTCGGCGTGGGCTCGAACCCCGGACCATGTGCATGGTCGGCGAGAGTCCTAACCACTGTGCCAAATTTGACGGTGGTTTGGACTTCATTGACTAATGTAACAGAATAGTGATGCTGTGCCTGTACGACACATTCACCCATTGCAGTATCCGTCACAACTATATAGTGATCAGTGTAATAAAATAAGCATAAACCCTACAGATTGGGGATGAGATTTCATCTCAATTCAAATAAACGAGAAATGATTCTGTAATCAAATGAATTTCTTTAGAAACTGTATATAAATAAGTAAATGTATTAATCACGGATCAGAGCACGCTTCTCAACTACTAGCTAATAGTCAGCAGTTTTATGGAATATTTTCGAAATCAGTTGAAAAAGAATACACATATTCTGTGCAATTAAAATGAAGTTTTCGTGATAATACCACGACTATGCTGACAATACATGAAATCACTAGTACGTGTACGCGAGTGATACCGGTCCCATTAACAGATTAATATCACACCAACTAAATTTTAGAAATAGCCTAATACCTCTATATGGCATAAGTCATTGTGCACCACTGACAAATATGCTGCCTAATACTGATAGCAATGAGAATAATAATAAGAGCTTTATTCCCAACAGTATTTGTGGTGCAGGTATGGAATTTTCAGCGTGCATCACAATATATTACATCTAATTACCTCATAATTTTATACGATTTTTAAAATCAAAAAAGCAACGCCAAAAAATAAAAGATAAATAAAAACAACAGCGTAGCGTTTACATTTAAAAACAATACACCACAGGATATGTAATATAAAATTAGTGTGTAATAGAATATGAGAATAACAGTGTAATAATAACGAGGAAAGGAAAACAAAAACTAATGGGACTATTTGTTAGAGTGCTGCAGTAAGTTGATCGTAACCTAACGGATTTCTCATCACATAACAGCTGTGTCAGATATGGTATAGTGGAGTTTTTGTATTTGGTAGTCCTAGCATATAGCCTCCTATAGCTGCTTCTAGTCCTACCAGATGAATTGCAAGGAGAGAGCTGCGTATAGAGGGGATGCTTGAGGTTTGACAATATTGTATTCGCTAGTTTCTTACATGACAATGTTTATCCACAATAGTGTTAACCAGTTGGTTTAACGATATCCCACTTGCCCTACTAACGGCTTTTAGTGCCCTTCTCAGCAAAGTAAAGTCTTTCTTAAGTAGTCCAGGAAAGATTAATGGGGAGCAGTAAAGGGGGATGGGTACAATACAAGAATTGACAAACTGAGAAAGCAAAGACTGCTTTATACCAGACTGCCTAAACTTCTCAATGTAGAACGTTAAGCGAAACATCTTTCTAGTAACTAGCAAGATCTGGGAGGACCAGGAAAGATCGGTGGAAAAACTCAGCCCAAGGTACTTGACATTAGATGTAATTTCAACCTCTATGCCATCAGTGATAGTGGGGCCATGTGAGCTAACTAGTTGTTGCAGGTCACATTTTCGTCTGAAAGTGAGATTGACTACTGACATTTAGATAGATTCAACTTAAGACCGTTTGAAGAGGACCACTGACTAATTTCCGACAGAAAGTTATTTAATTTGGAACAATCTGACTGAGAGTTGACAGGCATAGAAACAGAGAAGTCATCAGCATACTTAACAAAAGTGGTTACATCAGAATGAGTCAAGTCATGTAAGAAAAAGGAAAACAGAAAAGGGGAAAGAACAGCACCTTGAGGAACACCAGCTAAAGTAAGAGAGGTAGTGGAGGACTTTCCATTGTAGACAGTGCACTGCTTTCTATCAGAAAAATAGGAATGCAACCACTTATTTGTCCAGCTCTCAGCCTGTGTTGCAGCAAGCTTACTTAGCAAGAGAGACCTAGGCTCTCATCATCTAATCAACTATAGTACCAAATAATAAGACATCGAAGTTGCAGTGAGCGATACTTACTGTTAGATCTCACGTGAGACTATCCAAGTTTGTAACTATTGTTTAAATTTGATGAAGAACAGTTTAAGTCACTTTTATGGATTTATTACACCAGAGAAGCAAGTCATCTCAGTAGAACCAAACTCTAAATGCATAAATCATATCTCAAATAAACCTCATCACTAAAGCTAACTTGCATGTATCTTTACAGTAATGTTATAAACTAAACCACTCGAAACACCACATTGATCAAATAAATTTCAAAAAGTACTTAGCAATGTCAATTTTTAGAATAACTAGACAGCATTTAAAACGGTAGAAACTGCTTACATCTTGCTTTACAGCAAGTGACAGCTATGCGTATAAAGAGAAACATATAATTGGATATATGGAAATAAGACTTACCCGCTTTGTATGGAAAATGAGCTATCTTGATGTGATGTTGACATAGCGCCCTTACTTTCTTGACCTGATAACAAAACATAGAAACACAACAAGTTTAGCAAGGATATATATACATATATATATGAGCGATATTATGTGAAAACTGATGTTACTACTCAGTTAACCACCTTAAAGTAGGTGAAGCGCGATTCTAACCCAAGACCGACTGCCTATACCTTGATGTGGTAGAATCGGCTGATCGTATCTTCATCCTTCAACAGATACTACATCAGAGGCATATTAACCGATGTACAATTCTTGAGATGAAGGCAATATTTGAATCTGTCAGTTAATGAGGTACAGTGGCAACACCTGACTCTACGGAGCGACTGATAAGAAAACATTGTACTAACACTACTCAAACTCATGCAGCCATATGAGTTTACAGAAAGTTATTAGTGGTATCACTCAGATGTCCAATGTTATTTGTATAGGTAAACTGCGGGACCAACCTGTGTCAGGAACTGACTTTTTACGAATAAACAGACAATGGTCCTTCTACTTGATGACAATGGAGAATAATAGGATCTTCTAAACACCCCGAGTATACATCTCTGTATGCGTGACATTTAATGCGCTCCAGCTAAATGTGGCATGACGCTGCGGGACTGGTCTGCACCGTCTGTCTGTTTTCGACATAGAACTTTGCAACAATGTGCGGCAGCTCAAGTCGCCACACTCCATGTGGCACACAAACCGAGAAGAAAGTAGAAGAAATGCATAGTAGGGACAGTAAACAGAGGTGTGAGACAAAGGAATAGTAATAACGAAGAACAAAACAGTTTCATTGGAAAGTATAAGTTACAGGGAGTGGATGTATCTGCGCCATTGAGAACGATTTTAAGCCATATCGCCAATTGTTTCCAACCATTGGTTTTTACCGTCCCGAGGACCCCAACAAGGAAGTCTACACCTTCCTACGTGACTTAGACTAACTGTTTTAGATTTCATTGACTGGTAAAGCCATGTTTTGTTTGACCTCCGCTAGCTTTTTTCCAGCCTGACCCTATATCCGCTAACCATTGCTCGTCGAGGAAGGCGATGACTAGGCATACGTAGCACATGTCCTAACCATCTCAGTCTTTGTAACTTCACAACTTCTTCGATCGATTTCTCCTCCTTACCTAGTACTCGACGCCTAACCTCATATGGCTCACCTTATTATGCCACTTCACATGGGAGATAGAACATAGGCACCTATGATCAAAGATAGCTAGTCTTTTCATGTCTTCCACTCTCAGTGGCTAGGTCTCACAGCTGGCCATAAAGGAGGACGGAGCGGACCTCTGTGCAGTATACTCGCCCTTTGGTCGATAGTCGGATATATCGTCTACGCCAGAGACGGCGTAAACTGGCAAATGCGAAACGAGCCCCTGTATCCGTGCTGAGATTTCGTCAGAGATCAACCCGTTGGCACTAGCTGATGGTACTTCCCAAATAAGTGAAGCGGTCAACGTGCTCTACCACTTCACTTCCTATTTTTAAACTAGGCGTCGATTTAGTCCAGTCCTGTAACATCATCTTGCATTTGGCGGGAGCGAATCGCATGCCAAACATTCGTAGACTGCAGCTCAGTGTGTTCAGAAGACTCTGTATCTTGTCTGCACCGACTTCCAATGTAACTATAGGGAGTGAAATGATAAAGCATTTAACCCATATAGTTATTTGGGAAGTTGCGTCAACTGTAACTGACTGCTGACGACATCTCAAAACACGGATACAAAAGGTCTGCGTGTCACTTGTCAACTTGTGCTACCTTTGGAGTAGACGTGGTGTCTAGTTACCAACCCAAAGACGTGTGAAGCGATTCGACCGCTCCAAATTTACAGTTGGTCGTTGACGGTAGATCGGTGGATTTCGATCACAGGTGCTTGAGTTCGGAGGAACAATATATTCAGAGATAATAAGTTTATACATTAACGTTATTTAAACATGGGAAGTCAACCGATGATGTGGTGAAGCAGCAGATTGCGACGGTTAGGCACACCGAAGGAACGCCTTCAATATTAGGGGAAAGAGAACTCGACTGTTGGTTTGGGCCAATGGAGGAAGTGTAGACTGCTTGGATGAGGTCTTGGGGAAGTCAAGAATATATGATTGTGAGCTGTTGACAGTATGGCTCAAAATCGTCTACTTATTACTTGTTAACATCCAGTTCTGAAAATTCCCAATAATCTCCATCTAATTGAACTCATAATCACCTATAAAGTGGGCACTGTCTTATTATTGAGGCACCTAAGAGCCGCGAGGATAAGTTATCGAGATCAGCACAAAACCTATTCTGAGGTGATGGAATTTGGTTAGTTGTACTGGTTCATAAAGCTACGGCCTATTAAATGCCTCATAATAAGCCACAATGCACAATTTTTCCGGTTTATTCTTTCGGAACCGTTGTTACTAGACTGGGAAGGTAGAAGATCTGCCCCGCAAGTTATTCAATGGAAACACCATAATGCTGTTAATAATTATAATAATAATAATAATATATATATATATATATATATAATGACATCGCAAGCATGCATTTAGTACCTGAATTGTTGTACTCGATTAGGAACACTTATTAACTTTGGCAACAAATACTTAGTTCCTCAGATAAGAGATGCAAGTTACAACTTTGAAAAGCACGTACTCTACACTGAAGTATTCAAGCTGCAACACCCATAATACGCTCGGAGTGGGAAAACAAAAAAGGTACTACTCTACTCCTTTCATTGATACAAATGACTTATCTTAAAAATCAGTTACAACTTGTACTAACCTTTAAAATCCAAGTTATGAGACTTGTTGTTATCATGATGAACAAGAGAATCAGAGCGCGAACATGAGTTTTGTATATCATTCCCCAATACGACTGATGTGGAATCTGCAGCTGAATGACTGGATGAGTGATGATGCAAAGCTGCTTTCAACACCTGTACCAGCTCATTTAGCTGACTGTGTTGCGAGCGGGCGTTGACATTTATAGGATCCCGGTTCACTGAAAAACATGATACGGATTGGAATTACTGCCTGATACATTTAATGCCACTATATTAATAAATCTTCCACTGGTAAAGCAATTCACTTCAAGTTACCAAAATGTGAAAAACAAATCTAACGGTAAAATATTAGAACCTATAGAAAATAATCTTGCTATAGGTTCAAAGTGCGATTATTAAGAGCAAATTATCACCAGGAATACATACCAATTAAACGTTATACTAAATTTGTTTGCACCAAACACCAGTCACACAAATCCTTGTTACAGAACATTAACGGTACTCATGAATAGGAAGTGAAGTCTGACCGATTTCAACGTAGAGCTTTGCACAGATGTGCAGCCGTTCGAGTCGCTACACAGAACCATATGTAACAAAAACTATTCATGTATGTCGAGCATCTAGATAGTTAAATTGAGGTCATTTATGTGGATGGAATTCATTTTTATCTCCCGTCATAGCAATGTCAAACTTACTATTAGTCTATTATTACTGAAGAAAACCTCCCATAAATTCTCACTTAGCGGTGACGCCACTGAGTCCAAGCAGCTCTACGGAGGCTGCAATGATCGAACACAGGGAACTACCGCATATCACCTAGGAGACAAGCTTAAACAGTCATAGAGCAACACTGTTTGCTCCGAAACTTAATCAGTCCTGATAGTCACACTACCATCTCGAAGTTCCAATAGGTGTCCGAAGTTTGGCTCCCAGTTACACGGTTTGAAATCCCATCCAGCCCCTCCAGCACTCATACAACTTTCTAGACGCATGAACTTAACGATAACTTCAGGCGATCCAACTGCTGGAATGAGTACATGTACAGGCTTGTGCCAATCTTTGCGTTTAGACGATATACGGTAGGTTTAGACAACGATCACTAAGCGCTTAACTATGTGGGCAACCTGTATGCTAACGCAGAATAAGACAATACTGTTCGCATATTCGAAGTCTTCCAGGAAGAAAATCTGCACTACCCCCTCGCGAAACCTGCAGAGCTATCTGCAGAATGTTGTTGATGGTTAACTTAAATAAAAGTGCTGAGGCCGGACAGCCCTATGTGGCACCACTGTTGGTTGAGAACAGAGATGACAGCTGACTGTATGTTCACAATCTACGTGTCTGGTTTCTGCATAGGGCCTTCAGGGTGTTAACAGACGCTCCAGGAACGTCTCTCTCTAACGAAGAGTCCCGGATAGCAGTTTTGGGTAGCAAATCTGGGGTAACTGACTGCGCAGTTACGCCGTTACATTAGGTTTCATAAAAATAACACCCTTTTTAACACTTCAAGTTATAACTGACTTTAAATCTAGTGGATTAGTTTTTAACAATTATCTGAATCATTATACAACTTTAATAAAATGAATTCAGATGTTTAGTGATATCGCAACTGGGAATTCCCTATATGAAATGTAATGTCTCTTTAGATGAGTGAACTAGAAGACTAACCCAAATTAAACAACGCGAAGTGAAAGTTAGTATTTGGAAGACTAGATATTAGAAAATTATGAACTTCACTTACAAGCATATTCATTTTGAAGGGTTCTAGATATGAATGCTCGAGCTGAATTTACTGGTGATGTCGCAGCTTTTAAATCATCGTGCAACTTATTAGAATTTATTGAGAAATCACTACTGCAGTTTGGTTCCTTAGTTGTAGTTTTACAGTGAGCCTGTTCAGCCAAAATCTCAATTATTTTGTTTACTTGACGAGATGATAAGTCATAATGGGACAACGAAACACAAGTTTGAAGAGATGCACTGGAAGTGCTTGCAGTTGTCTGATTTGTATGTGGACTGGGAATCACAGATGGACTATTTTGGTGTGATCTGTTCCGACAAGCTGAATAAGTTTCGTAGGGAAGCGACCGGCTTTCAGTTTGAGAACTGGCGGGATAAGGGAGGAGCGGACTGTTATTAGAGCTTACTATACGTCTTGACTCATCCATTGTATTTGTCTATTAGATGAAAAAAGAGAAAACATGATTTGTATTTAACCAGACATAAACAATAAATGCTAAGAGCGGAAAACACAAAGGCGTTTCCACGTTTTACAACACTCATTATAAAGAGGTATAAATGGCACCACGTAGCTTTTTTAAAACTTCTATTTCCCAATACACGTTATGCAGTGAAATATTAACTCTGCTGAAAGTGTGTTTAGGACTGAGAATGAATCATGTTCTTTATCCAAAAGTATGAACATTTCTGTTCTCTACACAAATTCCTACCTTACTTGTATATCATCTAGATACTTAGCAACCGTTGTGATGTGGTGCGCGACTATCCAGGTCAAAAGCAGATTAGTCAGTGGCATTCCTTCATCGACAAAAGGTCACTAGATATCGAGGTGATATCTGAACCGGAACGAAGACTGAACTTGAGACAGTAACATCCAAATCTGCAAAAAACTAACTCCCAATGTAGAAACACAAAAATGCTACAGTTCAAGTTACCATTTTTCATGAGCGCACAAATTCAGAGAAAAGAACTACATTGAAGGAAATTTCGCAAGAGAAAGAAGTACACGAAGGGTAACCAACCTCATGTGCGTACGCCATCGGCAAATATTATGAGCCACGTCGCCAACAGCTTCTGTGATTCTTCGACTCCCGAAGACCGCACCTCACGTAGCTCATACCCGCAGACAAGGAATGGTCTCAGGTTTCGATGTAGCCACACGCAGCGCTCGTCAGAGCAATCCAATTTCAGCTGACATTTCCCGACTACGGTTTACCATACTTGACAAACGTCGGGGTCACTCCAAAGGCTTAAGACTGTAGTCCCACTGATTAACTTTACCTGCTAACCTAGCACTCCGCTTAACCTAAATATCCTCATTTTCTGCGAATTGTCGTGAAACAGAACGCGAACATGCACGATCAAAGTAAACCTCTTCGTGTCTTTCAATTCCAATGGCCACGTCTGAGATGTGAATACGTACATGAAATGGCGACGGAAAGCACATTCTTAGATCTATAGTCTAGTATCACATCTACGCCAAGAGTGAGTACAATATTACCGTTTCTGTCCAAGTTGTGAGCATGAACCATCTTCAAAGCAGAAACCTATGCAAGCTATAACGGCAGTACCATCCCACAAGTGACAAGGGAAAATTGCATGCTAAACGTACCAAGATGTATGCCTACAGACTAACTATAAACAGGATAGAGAAGTATTAAGGAAAACTGATTGCCTATGCGTTGACATACTCTAGTCAAACAAATTCGCCTATTGACATACCGATATACCAGGAATCATCTAGCATAACCCGTTAATTCAAAAGGCGAATTGGTTTTCTGAGGGCATAACCCCCACATACAGGTTCGGTAGGTACCAAAGAACACAAGAAACTACACCAGTCTTTTCATTGCCACGTCAGGTTAACTCTATTTTACAACTAATTACACAAATGCCAAAAACTGCTCCTAAAGCCTGCATGGTAAAATCCTCATTCAGCCTAATTAACATAATTAGTGACCCAGTCAGGGCTTCAGACGTGCAGTCATTTTTTCGGAAACCAGAAATTATGAAACTCTGAACATTGAAAGTTGGTCATCAACAAACTCTGATGAAAATGAATTAGAGGAAATGAAAGACATACAGAGACAAGACGTATTTCTAAGCATACCTTAATACTGCTCACAGGACACTGATTAGCGCTTTGCACAGAACTTTTATGTACATTATAGTTCCGTGACTCAGTCAAGCCAGGATACACAATGGGATTATCACATTTGGACTGCCTGCAGCTCGAAGAGATTGAAACCGAACATGGTTGGCGCAACCTATCCTCTAGCTGAGACTGCTGAGATCCCTTAATCGGCGAGAGTTGGCAACTGCTAGGCTGATTGTTTTCGAATGCAGCAGAGGCTCTGTTTGACCCGAAAATTGAACCATTGTTGGATGGTGAGAGTTTGTATGCTACACGCGCTGATGAAGGAGGTGGCTGCTCCAGAAGACCGCCTATGGAAGCGCGAATGGCGTCGACCAGCTGATACAAAGTGGAGTTTTCTGGAAAACAGAAGGGTAATTTCACGTTTTTATAAAATGATACTAGTAGATTGCACTCAACTAGCGACTATCTGCACCAGACAAACAGAATCATATCATTACCCTTACATAGTATCTTATCTAAAGTAGAGGGATGATGGAAGGTTATATTTTATAATGAAATCTCACCTTGTTTCTGAACAGCATGACCTGAGTTTATTTCTGTACTTTTCATCTTGCAGTCCCTCGGACGCTGGAAACAAAAGGTATTCGGGGAGGAATTTCCCACGGCAGATTTCTGAGGGGAGGTTTTCTTATCAGCCGAGTACTTTGTCGAGCTATCATCTGACAATGGGGAGCTATTTGGAGATATTTCCATATCATCGTTTGTGGACGATCTGGGAGGTAAGTGTATTTTGCTTTTCCTTAACGTATCAAAACGGGAATCTTGAGCTATAGGACGGCTAACTAATCAAAAAGTATGTTAGTAAAATAAATCATCAAACCATTGTTCCTTCCATCTCCATGTAACACACCTGAGGAGTAACCGGTATCATTAGTATGACTGCAAATAGATTATAGCAAAATATCATTACTTGACTAAATTAGCGTCGATTTGTGATGAACCTGGTCGTCGAACTTCAGAATTAAACGACAACTTTGCGCGTTTACAATCGCTAGGCAGGAGTGGACGATCATCCTTCAAGGATCCGACTTCACCTTCTGATGATTCATGTGACCTTTTGAGAAGGATTCCTGCAAGCAGATAAGAGTAAGCAACTAGCATACCTTCACCTTGTTGTCGTTCGTTCATTAGCTTGACAAGATCCTTCCTATTCAATTCTGGCAAATTCCATTCTGGTGGCTTCTGCCACTGAGAAACCTCCGTAGCACAATTGTAAAAATATATTTTCCCTTTGGAGCTCAACTGTTCTGACCATAATCCACAGATCCTGATTGCACTCTTTTGCCACTAAATGTCGTAATATATGAAACAATTATATTTACTTCTGGCTTGCCATGAACACTGCGTTCTTTCTTCGTTTGGTGATTTACGGGGTTTGTTGTACGATTCGAATGGTCCATGAATACTAACATGATAGGGAAAAAATACCCCGAAAGCTACCTTCCATGTGTTCTTTACTCATATAAAAAGTACCTAACTTGGTGACAAAGTACGCGGACAAGGGACTTCAAAACGACTGCTGAGACACTTCACATATACGTATACGTCGGGAAGAGTACTGTAAGCCCGCCAAAATACTTATCGTCGCGGGGAAAGGATCGCATAGCCATATTGTCAACCAGAGTACTACTTACTTTAGTGAAACAAAACCTGAGTGTACACTTTCTGGAATCTCTAGAATAATTACTGAAAACATTTTATTTACGTTTTATTTTATTCATTATTATTTTGCCGAAAATGAAAGGCGAATCACTTCTTCACTTTGTATTTTAATTAATTGTCCTCATTTTCCAGGACATTTGATGGCAGTACTTGACAAAATGTAGGGGGGTAACTGTAGTATACACTTGGATACATAACTCTTGACAAGCAAACAGAGTTAAGGGTGGAACAGTGAAATTCTGGACTTCCCTAAAAAATTTTAGGTGTTTGATTGTGTGAATAATGAATCAACAATGGAATCAAAATCATAAGCTAATCTCAGAACAGCGTAATCTAATACCATTTTAATATCAGTTTTGCGTCTATAGGTCATAGGTCAGTTTGGATGCACAAAGTCGAGGCTGTGATGGGCCGAGATGGCCGCTATAGTTTAGCTTTGCCAAAATATTAGAGGGGTTAGTGTGCCAAAATCGTGCATCAGTATGGCCGATGAATTTCCAAGTGATCATACTTCAATTTGATTAGCTTATACAAACATAGGTGTGATACATTTTTAACACCTGTTTAATAGTCAATAAGCTGGTAATTTATTTAAGAATACCTCTGTGTAAGTGGTATTCAAGATCATGAAGACGGAGTTGATAGAAAAATCAGAATCTCAGAAAGCGAAAACAAGCGCCTGTTATTCGTTTTCGAAATTGGGTGTATACTTGTCGTGTAATTTTATGCAGTGCGACATGTTTTCCGATTGTATTCATTTAGGAGGCTAGGTAGTTACATTTCCTAGTGCGTCGGTGGCACAGTGGTTAGGACTCTCGCCGACCTTGCACATGGTCCGGGGTTCGAGCCCACGCCGACGCACACCTGATATCTATGGTTGGCCTACGAAATTTGGGCTACCGATATCCACGCTGAAAATTCCATACTTGTACCAAAAATACGGTGTGGAATCAAGCTGTAATGAAAATATAAATATAAATAGACGTCGCGATATCCGCTGCTAATCCACCTCAGACAGAAATGACGGCAGTGATTGCCTGACCGGTCACTCATCCTACTTAACCCGAGCTTTTGTTTCACATATCGCTTATTCCTTGGCCCGGCACACTCCAACTCAGTAGTCAGTCTGAGCCAAAACAACTCCCCAGCTGATGGAGCAAAAACTATTGCTCACCTCTTCACCAGCACACTTTCAACTTACGCCCCGGCAAATTATCCGCTGATGTTGTGGCTTACAAAAAGCATGCAGTTTCCCGTCCATTGCTCTTGAGAGCAACCACCTGATCTAAAGTCAACACTGCTAGTCGATCAGCTTATAGAATTGAAAATTACAGGCCAAGTGATTGTACTAACTTTTGTATCACATCTCTATTTCTCATCCAACAGCAACCTCAGCGGCTGGGGCAAAAGTCAACACTATCATTTTATTATCGGGTGACTACCTGCGTATCACAGGCGTGCACACGTAACCCACTTTATGACAACTCAAAATAACCAATGGTAGGGGCTTATATTGCCCTTAATCTACCACATTTCAGACATCAGTATCACTAAATCCTAGCTTTGTACAAATGCCTCACGAAATACAAAGGGACGTTGAGTTTGGAGGTCATTTCTCGTCGCTACACTCATTTCATCCTAATCACAACTAATGGTTCTGCTAGACAGTACTGATATCAAATGCTGATAATTCTGTCCATTCGAATATGAGTTGGGATTTCAAATCCTGCCCCAGAAACTCGCATTTTCACATGATTTCTAGTTGGCAACAGATACGCATCAATTGAAGATATATCCACATACAGCCAGGCACCATTCCACCTCAAGAGTTTTTAAACATTTAGATTTCAAGGAATCATATCAGCCTAACTACTCGCTACTTCCATTAATCACTAGGCCGATTGCCAATTTTATCATACTTTTATTACTGCTAATATCTACTGAGAATAAACTCTTTCCCTCGGCCAGTTTCCGTCGCTCTTCTTTTTATTTCAGATTCTCGCTACACAACTAATGTTACGGGCTCCTAAGGGTCTTCCTGTGTGAAGTTAGCTCTTACACTGAAAGGAATCAAACCTAGCACATTCTGAGAGGAACGTCATGTGATTTTGTTGAATCTCAGCTGCTTCTCCTTCAATAGCCAGTTTATTTGCATATACTAATTGGATAAGGTTGTTGATAACTGAATGTACAAGGAAGCGTGGTTGCTGTGTTTTGGTGTGATTGTGCAATTCTAAACATTCTACATACCGTTGTTGATAAACATATTCTTGGAAAAATGTGTTATGTTCTCCCTTCACTCGCTGGAGCGATTTTAGCCCTAAAGAAGTTTAGAGACATCAAGTGAAGCGAAGTTCATTCAGTTAAAAACTTACGACCTAATCTCACTTGAAAAGCAGAATGAAGTGACATCCTAAGATAAATATCGAAGTGGGAGACTGATTTAAAAGCAACACACCGCTCGAGATACTTTTAAAAATCCATTAGACAGTTGGTGACTATGATATACGTAAAGACGAAGCCACTAGCCAATAACAAATTGTGCCTTTCTTAAACATTGGCAGCTTTACGTTCTCTGTCTACCTGTCTTAAATGGTGAATTCGCCCCGTCCGCGTTTTTTTACTAAGCTTGCCTTAACACTTGCGCAGGAAACCTGTCTATAAAATACACGTTCAACACGATTTCATACCTGCTATTCAGCGGTTACTTCGTGATCACTTGGATATAGGGGTTATACCCCATAAGAAATGATCTAAGGCTTTTCAAGGAGCTGGCAGTCCATTTAACAGATTTAATGACTTTTGTCCGCAGCCTATTTCGCCCACAAGGAGTCTTGTCACTTCACTGAAAGTATGCAATCTCCACAAGGGATTTCATAGGAGCCAACATTTAAACAGTAAATTTATGACTCAGCCTTTTAAGCAGCTTAAGTGACGTACTGGGTAGAATGACAAGGATAACTGTAATGACATATCTAGAAAGCAATAACTTGTTCAACGCACGGTATTTTTCAGAGAGACTGTTCATGTCTTAGCGTAGTGGGAGGCTACGGCTAGCAAGAAACTTATATGTATTCATCAACTTCGGCAAATGAAACTGAAAAACTGCTCCACATATCGCGGCAAATAATTCCCCAAAATTATTGACCACAGCAATCACTCATCATTGGATGCTGACCACTAATGTTTAAGTCGACTTGTTTGGCTGAAGGCTTTCGGTCAAGCATTCTCGCCATTTGGTACTCCGCCGTGTCACGTTCGTACACGGTCACTAGCCAGCTTAGCCTCCGCTTCAGTCCACGATTGGGTTCCGAAATATATCTCGTAATTTGGACGATCAATCGTGTCATTTGCTTTGCCTTTGGTCCACGGGAAACGAATACCATAGGAGTTGTTGGTATGAGATCTTGCGTTAGTATACTCCGTACAATTTGCGAACGTCAATGCCGTTAGCCTCTAGACCAGTGAGCCCAACTGCGAACTCATCTTCGATAAATACTCCGATAAACCCGGTGAGTTCGTTCCTTTTTGTATTTGTTCTTGTACTATATTGTATTCGGTATACATTTCGTCATGAGTGATCCCAGTCCCAAGGTCATTCGTCTTCGCTCAACTCCTAAAACCATACAGCTCATACCGTGCTGGCCAGATAATGCTGAAACATGGTTTCAGGTAGCTGAGTCTGATTTTTGTGAGCGTGTGATAGCCGATCAACGTTCACAGCTCCTCACAGTTATTCACGCCCTACAGCGGGGATCCAGCAAGTGTGTAACTGTACAGATGTTGAGTCCCGAGGTAAGTTACTCGTATGAGTTGCTCCAAGCATCCCTCCTCACGAGAAACGTTCCAAAGGATCAACAACGTCTGGATGAATTATTTCGTAACTTCGAGATAGGGGATCAGTCAGCCGTGAGCACGCTAACAAGAATGAGGGAGGTTATTGGCCAAAGTCAGTTCGATGACGGACTTTTCAGAGAACTCTTCTTCTCCAAGCTGCCACAGTCCGTGCAGATGGTACTTGTGACACTTCAGGGTGCTCTTAGAGATGATCTAGCTATTTCTGCAGATAAGATTCTAGAAATAACTAAACGGTCAGTTCCTGAAATATGCTTGGTGGCCAAGCAGACTTCGAGTAAGGGTACTGCAGTGATAAAGTTATGCAACTCCATCCAGCAGATGTTTAGGTTAAACATGACTTCTAACTCCTTCGACCGTCGTTCTAAATCCCCCCAATGGCGAAACTCACGTGGACGATCTAAGCCCGAGTCACGTTCACTGAAAAACCCTGAATGGTGCTGGTATCTAAACTCCTATGGACGGGAAGCGAAATGTTGTCGTAAACCTTGTAACTTCGGCAACGTCTCAAAGCCTGTGGGAAACTATCCCGCCGGCACCTGTTAGCGGCAGCCGTCCCTGGTGGCACTAGTCGCCTGCTTTACATCCATGATGTGATCAGCTAGACTCTATACTTAGTCGACACAGGCACCGAAGTCAGCGTCCTTTCTGCTACAGCAGCTGACAGACAGAAGGAAACTACCTTCAACTTACAGGCTGCAAATGGAAAACCAATCGCAACCTTTGGTAGAAAATACGTCTCTCTGAACGTAGGTTTACGCAAACCTATTCGGTGGATTTTCCTTCTCGCTAACGTCACAATGCCCATCATTGGCACGGACAGACTTAATCATCATGATTTACTCGTAGACGTCCGCCGAAAACGACTGATTGAAAATACTACTAGTCTGCCGAT